AAGAAACTGGGAGAAAACGGCGAAAACAGTAGCCCTCGGCACTGTGAGCCCTCGGCACCAGGGTGCCATCGGTTGGAGGAGCCCTCGGCTACTGCTCTATAGCCGAAGGCATCTCACTCGACAAGATATCCGCCTCACATGCGTACAAATCACCGTACCCTGCGCATACGTCCCATCCAACAGCCGCATTAAATGCGGCCACATGCGGCTGCCAGCGCCAACCAGTTGAGGTGACCCCTCGGCCAATGAGCGCTTGACACGTGTCCCTGTCCGGCATTTATTGCTACTATAAATAGCACCCCATTTCCCCATTTGTAACCACGCTGAAAACGCTCCACATTTATAATACACTCTCTCTCTCTACGTTTACCTGCTCTGACTTCTCTCTAAGTTATTCCCAGCAATAACCCTTCGGATATATACCCCCGGGTAGACTATCCATCAGTAACCGAGGCAACAAGCTCGAAAATCGATTGAAAAGGACACTAGAACCACATGCATTTGGGATGAATCAAGTGATTGGTATGCAGAAACAACCTATAAGTTGAGGGGGCAGAAGAGGATGCAACTAGTAGCAAACAGTGTCGTCTAATAAATTTGGAGGCCCCGATTCCAAATGGTGAATTGAGGCCTCCTAAAACAAGAAAAAATATAAAATTTAATAATGAAATACAAATAGACTAGATAGTTGAATGAAATATAAGTTTTATGATGTTTAAGGTACATAAATCAGAAAATTTAAAAGTTATATACCTTTTGAAATCTTGAATAATACGTAACATCTAGAAAATCAACTTATAACTAATACTACATTCTAAATTTTTGGAGGCTCCATACAAGAGTGGGTTTCGGTGCCAAGCACCTATTGCACCTCCTAAAAACGGTCCTGGTAGGAAACTTGATTAAATGGCAGGACATAAACATGTACCATGTCTGGTGGTGTATGACTTCATGTTGTAACTTTACTCGTGCCATACTGCCATGCATCTAATACTACGTATGTATTACGGAGTAATAATTAATTGAACAGCAACTTTTTTGAAACAAAAAAAGTGTTGAATATTTTAGGGTTTGCAAAACTTGAAAGAAAACTGTCTTCGTATTCACACAATTAATTTTCACATCTAATGCATTGCTGTCAAGCTTAACAATAACCATTAAAGCAATTGTCTTAAATAAGAGAAAACATTTTGAATTTTAAAATAGGAACATTATATTTTTGTTCTTTGAATATTATTTTTATTCCTTATAATTACTATCAACTCACCTGGTAAGGCAAAAATGTGGCAATAAAATTTCGAAATGACAATAAACCACGCATATCTAGAGAAAAATATAGTACTCCTATTTCCGAAATTTTCTCTACCCGTTATAGTGCACAAGAAAATTATAAGTGGTTTTCAACAACATAACATGAGTTCAAACTTCCAGTCCTTAAATTTTATTCAAATTATGGAACATCAGCATTAAAAGAGCAGGTATATGCACAATCTCATAGCCAAAAGAGTCAACATTATCCTTAGATAACTAATGATAACAGTGGTTTTGTGTTAGAGATGGTGACCTATGTTGCACGGAACGTGAAAATCAAGAGGAAACGCGAAACGGGAAGCGTCAACTTTTGCTCAAAAACGCTTGTTTGGAGAGTTTTCAAAGAGTTTTCGTAGAATTTATGAAACGGAAACGTGTTCTAATTTTACGAGATTTTCCGTGCTACGTAGATGGTGACAAATGAAATGTCATATCTCATATCAATAGTTTTCAAGAGGACTAAACATGCTCAACATATTGTGGACTAGCTCCAGGGAACCGTAACTCTAATTGGATAATTTATCTGGTTCGATTTCAGGGTTGGTTCTGATCCAATTTTATTCCATAGTCTTCTTTTAATACGAAGTACTAACAAAATAAGAGTTTTTTCCATTTTCAGCCCCTCGATTATTGGATCTGTGACACTTTTGGTACTTGACTTTCAATATTTTAATTTTTAATTTTCGACTATTGTGTCAGAGATACTTTAGTCCTCAACTTCAATTTTTTCACATTTAGTCGCCCGAGTATTATAAAATTGACACTTTTAGTTCTTCCACTATGAATTTGACACTAATTGGAGGACTAAAAATGTCAGTGTTATAATAGTTGAAGAACCAAAAGCGTCACTTTTATTATAGTGGAAGAATTAAATGTGGAAGTCACCGTGATTTACTCCTCCACCATCCTGTCGGGTCGGGGTGGGGGGCCCTTGGGGTTGAGGATTCAACCTTTTGGACGTTGTAGAATTAAATGTGGAAATTTTCAAAGACGAGAACCAAAAATGTATGTCACATAATAGTCAAAGGACTAAAAGTAGAAAAACTCAAAATCGTGTACCAAAAGTATCAATGACATAATAGTCGGAGGACTAAAAGTGACAAAAATTCAATTAAAAAATCTGGAACAAGTTTAAACCACTCCCAGTTTTGTAACCAGTAAATCCGAACTTTTACTAGTATGGGGTTAAACTAAATTTATTTATTCATATTTTATTTTCTTACGGAGTATGTTTTTAATAAAATACTCCGTATAATTTAAACTTAATTTTCTCATTATTTAGCAGATCTAGCACTTCGATCATCATTTCATAAATTTTGAGTAGATTCAACCAATTTGTATCACAAAAAGGGCCTTTAATATAACTAGCGAAAATCGCACTTTGCGTTCCTGAAATAGTCACCATATTGAAATGTCAGAACCGTATTTCGGAGGTTGTAAATGTCACCCCTCAATTGTCCAAATTGGTGTAAATGTGATCCTTTGAGGGGGTGAAATGCACTCCTCGCCCACAATGTACATTTCAGCTTCAAAGGACTACAATTACAACAATTTGAATAATTGATGTGTAACATTTACAAACTCAGGAATACGGGTCTAACATTTCAATATGGTGACTATTTCAGTTAGGGGTGGATTCGGTTCGGGCCACCCGGCCCGTGACCCGGCCCGACCCGCCATGTGCGGCCCAGAACCGGCCCGATTTGGCGGTCCGGGACCGGGTGTAGACCTAAACGGGGGGGGGGGGGGGGGGGGCAGCGGGGGCGGTCTCGGTTCCGGCAAAACATGACCCGGCCCGGCCGGGTCGGGCCCGGGTCCGGGTCACAATGGTCAATTTTTTTTTGTTTTGGGCCAAAAGAGCCGTTAGGGTGGGCTGGAAGGGGGGGTCCGGGCAGTTTGGGGGGAGGGGGTGGAGGTGGGGTGGGGATGGGGTAAAAAAAACTATAAATACTCCTAATCTTAAACATTTTTCCATCTCTTCTCCAACTCTTCCTAAATCCTACTCTCTACTCTCTAATTATCTTCATCTTCATCTTCTCAAATTCTCTTATTCTCCAATTAATATTACTTATAAATGCATATATTATATTACTTATATTTCTTATCTACTTATATATTAATTATCTATTTACAAATACATATATTATATTACTTATATTTCTTATCTACTTAATCTCTACTTATTATCTACTTATATCTACTTAATTAGTATATTAATGTTAGTTAAATTCATTCTATTACTCCCATTTGTTTTTCCCATGAATGGTTACATTTTTCATTAAAGTAGTTAATTAGTTCATTACAATTTTTGCTATAAAATTGTTAGTTTGATAGTTCAAATAACTAGTACAAAAAACTAGTTAATTCATTACTCAATTAATAGAATTATTATATCTATCATTTTTGCTATATAGCCGTTGGGTGCTTGAATCAAGGGTGTCCCGGGGTAGGGTGGGGGTGGGGGTACAAAAATTTCTATAAATAATCCTATTTTCTAACATTTTATAGAAATCTTCTCCAATATCCAATCTCCAACCTCCATTCTCCATCTTCATCTCCATCTATTCTACTCACTCCGTTCCCAAAAATACTTCCCACTTTTCTTTTTGGGCTGTTCCCAAAAATACTTCCCAATTTCTCATTTTGGACAATTTGTGTGGCTCACGTTCATTTTACCTTTTTCTTACACAACCACAACCATACATTTCCACTTTATTCCACTTTCTTAATAAGCGTGCCAAGTCAAACCGGGAAGAATTTTTAGGAACGGAGGGAGTAGTATTAATAGAATTATTATATCTACCATTTTTAAGATAGAAAGTCAATATGCCGTTATCGCGTATAATTTTTATATGCAGAAGGACCCGAGGACCGGGATGTGGTACGCAACTTGAGAATGGTGCGGGAAAAAGTGTAACTTGGGGGTTTCACGCGGATACGGGATGATCGAGAAGCATATTAAGTCCTGTGACAAAGCCAAAGGACCGGAAAATTCTGATTATTACAAAATGTATTTCATGATTCATATTGTATTTTTTCTCAATTGTCAAATGTAGTTCCTATTTCATTTCAAATAAATGCACTTGAAGTTTGTTTTTAATACTTGTATAAGGTGACAACTCCGGTACTCATTTAATAAATAGGGTACCGTGCCTACTACTCACTTGATTGATTCAAATCATTACATCATTTTTAATTTAGATTTAAATAATTCAAGTACATCATTCTGATTGGTCCATGTGGACAAATGTATGATACCTTAACTGTACCATAGAATCTACCCTTGTATAAAACTATAAAATATAAATAAGTAAAAAAAAATACCCAGCCCGACCCGGCAGGTGGCCCAACCCGTGACCCGAACGGGTGGCCCAGCCCGCACCAGAACCGTTCTTACCTCGGGCCGGTTCTGGGCCCACATATTAAAAACCGGAGGCCCGGCCCGAGTCCATGACTAATTTCAATAACTAAAAGTGCGATTTTTATGAACTTATTAGACATTAATTCAATCACGCAACCGCACAGCATAGAAACTACGCAGCAGTAATTATATTAAGTATTGAGGTTTCATTGATTAAAGAGGTATTTGGAATTTGAGGAATATATTATTGTATGAACTATGAAGGAAACAGATTGGGAGCTTGGGATAATCGGATCTACCCATACTATAAGTCTATAACTTCCACCAAGATTTCAAATTGCCATATGACATATCTTCTTCGTATAGCCTTCCAAAACATTATTATTACTACTATTCGTATTCAACCATAAAATAAAGAGAGATGGCAGAAGGGAGAAACACATTACCGCAGATGATATGAACAATGGATACTCAAATTCTATGAAAAGACAAAAAAGATTACACTTTCGATGCCTGACTATGAAAAATAGTATTTCAATGTAACATAGCCACCGCCCCTTTGCCAGGACAATGTCCGCTGTATGTCTGTTCCTATTTTCTTCTAGTAAAAGACCATGAGTGCTCTCTTACATTGATAATTAGGATTTGCATTATACATGCATGCATGCATACATATATACATACACACATATATGACACAATGCCAGAAAGTGTATATGTTTGAAGAGCCTCAGGTGTGTGTATGATAAATAAGCTTTTCAAACGGCCACTTCCTTGTCCAGAGGTTACATCTCTTTATGTATAAAGAAAAAGTGCTGCTTTGTAGGCATCAACATTAATCTGCACCTGCAAGCAAAAGACATTTTACTAGTTGACATTACATGTAGTCTTCCTAAAGACACTGAAAATACAAACTACAAAGAACTAACTGGGCAATCATCATGTTCCAACAATCTTCCACTACCAAATGAGGAAGTGCAAAAAAGTAGGAACATGAAATTATTACTCCGCAATAACTATGTGCAGTACTAAGTAAACTCAAGGATGTCAAGCTTCATAGATTAATGATCTAAATGGTTTAATGAGGCTGACCATATGGAAGATCAACATGTACAAAGAAGCTTGCAGCAACAATGAGGTAGCATAGTATAAGCATCAACCCTTTAAAGTAGTTTGATGTCCCTTCCTGCACCAAACAAGACAATTAATTACTAACTACCTTTTTCACATTTTTCTGTAATTTATCTGTTCACTTATGTTATTTTTGGGTGGGGGTCTTTTGAAATGAGATAGAAGAACAAACCTGCAGCATAAATGCTACCACTAGCACTGTAATAAATAGTGTTGCAGTCTCAAAGAGTTGGAAGTTCAAGTCCATAGGCTTCCCCATGAACCATCCCACAACTACGCAGAATGGAATCTGCATTTTCAAAAGAAGAAGCTTCATCAGTTTACACATATTTCCTCCGTTCTTAAATAAATGCAGCGGTCAACTTTTCACATTTGCCGATGTACAATTTTGACCATTAATATATATAATTCTTTATTAGTAAAAAAAATAAAAAATTAGATTTTGAAAATTTACAATGAGACAAATTTAACTATTTTTTTCAAAAAAATATTAATGCATTAATAAATAAAACATAGTCGAAGTACAACATGTGAATAGTGCAAAATTCAACATGTTGCATTTATTTACGAACGGAGATAGTATAAGATTTTAAGCATTTAAGTGCTTGTCTAGCACCAACATATTTTGGAGCTTACCTACCCCAACAATAAAAATCGGGCAAACAGTGGAAATATAAAAAGGATTGTAATGGTAAGAAGGGTAATCTCCTTTTCAAGAAACTAAACTAAGTCATTTTATGATATCTAACCTGCAACGGGACATGCCTATAGGCTATAGCAGTTATCTTAACTTTCCATGAAAGAGGAAATAATATGATGGTGTCAGTTTTGATCTCTATCTCATCACTCCCCTATAAATTTGAGACGGGAAAGACACATGAAGTAAAATTTTGTTTCTATTTGCATGAATTAATAGTTTTAAATTCAATGGAGCCAAAGACTCGGTATTTTTTGGCTTTGGAATACGATGGAATGAAGCAAAATGACTCACTAAACTGTCTGCGCTTCTTTGTTATGAAGCGACAGTCAGTCCATGCAATTTTCGACACGATTTTCACTATGGGTCATCCGAAAACAATCTCTTAGTACAGGGTAAGGTTGCGTACATCTGACCCCCCGAGATAATGATGATGAGGAGGAGGATGAGGATTAACTAATTTTAAGAATTAGTTGGCACTATAAAGTTCATGCCACTAAAAACAACTAATTTGGATTTCGATGATGATGGTATAAAAGTAGTCAGTTGGCCAAAGGAGTGCGCTAAGATGTAATTAACGGACTTACCACAAACATTGATATCTGAGTGGATGACCCAATTGCTACTCCAAGTGTTATATCCTGAATAAAGATGGTCCTTTACTCACATTGTAACAAATGAGCAGAAAAGGACATTATAGATATTTTAGAGCCATTCTCACCAGCTTGTCTTTCATTGCAAACATGATTGCACTTGCATGCTCTGCAGCATTCCCCACAATTGGAAGCAAGATCACACTTATAAAAGCGACAGGCATATTCATTGAGGCAGATGCTCCCTTTGAAAAGGAATCATGTAAGTGGTCAGGACAGGTTACAAAGAAGTCATCTATAAATCAAATCTCCCAAGCAATAAGACTATTTTATCAGATCAAAGTATGCTAAAACTAGAACAGATTTTAAGGCTGACTCTTCTAAAAAAATATGAAGTGTCCTTCATGGAGCATAAAATCACACATGCTACATGTGACATGGCTTATTTGGGAAGAAGTGGATGAAAAAAAGGTGTGGAGCCCGTTATTGAGCCAATCAGGATTTACCACGTGGAAAAAATGGAGTACGAGGGGGGCATGTGTAGTATTACTAAAATTAATAACAACAACTAGAGGAGTTTACCAATATTTCAGATCTGAAAGTATAGAAAAACATAAATTAAAAATTCACAACACATAAACAAAAATGGCATTTTTTAAAGATTTGAAGAAGAAAGCCAAAAAAAATAAAAAATGAAATATTTAAACTGATTTCTCAGCATCTCTTGAAGAAGATAAAAAAGAACACAAGAAAGCAAAATAATCTTACCTCGATAGCATCAACAAGATAACCAGATAATACAGAAATCCATATAGTCAAAATAGCAAGCCAGCCAATGGCTTCCCACTGTGTGATCTCAGGGGCTTCTTCTTCCTCAGATCCTTCAGAATTAGATTCTCCCTCCTGGACATATGTCAATGTTACACTGAGTATTAAACGTTGCCTTGAGAATATCCGCGGGCAACTTCTGAAACATGCCAATGATTCTGGGCCAGAACTGATAATTCTGGTTCAGGCAGTTCACTGTGGTTCTGGAACGAACACTGAGAATATAAATTGACTAGTGTGTACAGAGGGGGGCCAGCCTTACACCCCCCGGGTCCTACCCCACTTTTAGGGAGGCACTGGTCAAAGAATTTCATGGCCCAGGATCTGGTTTGGAAGGAACACGCTGAACCAACTCATATCTATTTCTGTTGGACTTCATCACAAACTGTTGGAAGAGTAGAAGTGAAAGTGTTGAACAATGGCAGTATACTCCGTAGCTAAGGCATGTGTTCGCAAACCATGTGGCGCGAATACCTTTGGATGAACTATACACAATGGGAATATAAATAAGAAAGACAGACCAAATATAAGGATACTAATTATTCACCTCATTAGTGGAACTGTACAAATTTCTCTCACTCTTGAGCTGAAAAAATAGATAGCTAGCATATGCCAATAGCATTACACAGCTGCTGAATCTAGAAAGAGCTAGCTCTGACTTTCCAAAGTGGACCTCCGTGTGAGTGAAGTGAAGCACTGCTGGAAACAATAAGCCCATCACTGCCATCAACAATAACCCAGAACTTACAATAGCACTTGCCTGCAATATATCAATGCGAATATACAACAATAAAGACCAAGAAGTACTCAAATTATTACAAGACATTTACAGTGACTACAGTTTATTTATTCGTATGGACATTTCCTACCTTGTCAAAAACCTGGACTTTTTTGTAATGCCTAATCCCACCGCAGAAGAAGGCACACCCAAGAACTAACAGCATATTTGATAAAATGGAACCCAGCAATGATTGTTTAACAACCCTTATCATATCATTCTTCAACGCATATATTGATATTATCATTTCAGTAGCATTGCCAAAAGTAGCATTTAGAAGGCCACCAACTGCACATTCAAAGATAGTGATCAGTGAAGCAGACTACTAAAATAAAACAATCTGACATAATAATACACCAATAGGCATATAAAATATGAACAGAAGCCTTTGATGTTGATCCAAAAGCACACAAAAAGCAAGACACGGATAAGATACGGACATATGAGTCTTGGTGAAAAAAGGGATGAAATGTCAATGATTTCAGGAAATTACAAACTCTGGTAGCAGAACCATACTTGGAAAATGTGTTTGTGCAAGGAATTCAGATCCAGCACTGATTTTTAGAGCATAAACAGTATCCACAGAAGTAGTTGAATTGAGGTGATTGTGTGTGTGGGTGCCTGCACTAAAGAGTCGTTCCTACAGATACACTATATTTTCTGGTGGGGGGATAAGGTAAGGGAATGTTTTATGCACTAAAGTCATGTGACGCATGTTCAATGAATTACATGGCCTAACCCAATCACCTATCAGAGTATCTACAACAACAAACTTCAACAGCAACTTCTATCGATACGATGTCATATCCAGCATTATCGAATTACAAGTGATACACAACTTGACCATCAGAAATCAGAATGTGATCTGGAAATTAACTTAACTATTTGTAACACAACTTCTATCCAGCACTATTTGTCATTGAAGAACAAAAATACGCCTCTTTCATAAGATGACTGTGAGATACAATACCTGTTGGCCCGGTATAAAATGACAGCTGCCTGTAGCATAAGTTAGAAAAAACTTAAATGATAACTGGGAAGAAGCTAACCCAAACAGAATACATTTAGATTATAGATACAACGTCAGCTGTATTAACATACTCTGTAGCATATCCTAGCCGCTCGGCTAATGGTGTAATGCCCAATAAGCTGAAAAAAAAGACCCAGGCCTGCAAGATAAGAGAGCACCATAAATAGCAAGCCATTGACCGCATGTGTGTGTGCTAATATGGTCCAAATACTCTAACTAGAAGACACTGAGCAGGACATGCCAAAAGAGATCTTACATGCTTCCCAGTGACATAGTGCAACAATATTGCTAGCGGGCCAAAAGGAAGCAACACATTGATCTTTGCTTTTATTAGAATGATGTAAATACTTCTGAGAGCAGTACTCTGATGCATTGTTCTCAAAAATCTTGAAGATGAAAAGGCTCTGGTCGATGGAATATGATTATGAGGCGCTTCATAATGCAAAGTTTCATTTTTACTTATTCTATGAGATGAGCTCAGGGGGATCTCATCAGATTCGAGATCAAGGCTAACTCCTCCAGATCCCATCGTAACACTTCTGTATCAACAACCCATCCGATTACAGTATGGCCTTCTCCGGGTAAATTTGTTGTAGTTGAGCTTAACCAATCGTGTCACACTCAGACTGCCCAAAATGAATATTAGTATACAATGTTGATAGGAAGTTAGCAAAACAATCAAAGACTGAATACAGCAAATAGAGCCAACACGGCATTAAAAGCGTTGGATGATTTCCTCATAACCAACACTGAAAATTCTCACTGCGGAACAGAAATGTTAAAATTAAAACGCTTAATCAGAAAAGCGCGCTCAATTCAACCATGAGTGAAAGTAAATCGGCGCGAACAATAAACGGGCAGATCAGGCGTTCCTTGAAATGAACCAAATAAGACAAAAGGCTAAAGCAAGTCAGAAAGGTGAACTTTTACCGGAATGAAAATTGAAAATTGCTGATTCTCCTTTTTAACTGATTCAAGCTTTTGGATTCGAGTACGATAAGAGTAAAAGCCAAAGACAACTAACTACTTGTGTGTATCCTGTATCATTTTGCTACTGTGTGTGTGGAGAGAGAATAGCAGAACCAAGGATCTGTTTTGTTTTTGCTGAGATGCCCGCCGTTAACACGCCGGAAAGTAGGTAAAGAAGAGCTCAGATAAGAAAAGTAGATGACGACGAAGCTTCCGCGAAACAGCTCCACAGATGACTTCGCCAATCACTGTATTAATTCGTCAGCTTTCAATTTACCAAATCCAGTAATTTCGGAGTAGATGATACTACTACTACTACTCCCTCTGAGTTCCTAGAGAAAATCCAGTAGAGATGTTTTTTAGTAATACGGTGTGATAATTAAAAAAATTGCCAAAAAGAAATTAAAAAAGATCATTTAAGAATAGTTTGAAAATACGTGTTTACCAAAAAAATTGCTGGAAAATTGGAGAAAGGAAAACAGAAAAACGCGTTTAACAAACTATATTCCAAAACGAAGAAAATGAGACATGTCTCTCTTTTCCTTAATGATTTGGAGAAGTGACTTTTAATAGTTTTCTAAATTTGGAAAACGCAGATGCTACAGGCCGTTTCAATGAATTTGCATAGTTACACCTAGTGGTGGGTCCGGTCCCGCTCCGATTGTCGATTCCATTCTAGTACATCCATCCTCGTACCTTACCCCTTACCCCTACCCTACCCTACCTGTCTAACCCCCACCTCGCATACCCATTTCCCCTACAATGACCCTACCCCCACCCCCTACCACATGACCCTACCTCGGTCCCACCCTGATCCACCCTACCCTACCGCCACCCCTTACCACCTCAACCCCACTCCGATCCACCCTAACCTTACCCCCACCTCGTATATTACCCCTTACCCCTACCATACCCCTTCCCACATGCCCCCTACCTTGGCCCCACCCTACCGTCATCCTACCCCCACCATCGTACCGCCATCTTACCCCCACCCTACCCCCACCACCATCCTACCCTTACCCCTACCTCGACCCCACCCTACCGTCATCCTATCCCAACTCCCTACTCTACCCCTACCTTACCCCAACCCCAACCCTACTCACTACCCCCACCCTTACCCCTAACCACCACTCTAACCCACCCACTACCTCCCTGTACCCCTAGACATTACCACCCCACCCCCGACCATACCCCACTCATACCTTCTTTCCCTACCCCGACCCCTACGAGCAGGTATGGGTGAGTATGAAGGGTTTTAGGGGAGTATGGGTAGAGTGTAAGATCGTGGTAAGGGTAGGGATAGGGATCAAGGGTGTGGAATTGGGTGTAGGGTGTAGGGTGGGGTACGAGGTATAGGGGCTGGGTAGGGGTTAGGAGTATGGGTACACGTACGAGGTGATCGACCCCACATATTATATTATATATTTGTGTTCATGAATGTTTGTGTGTCTATATATGTATAGGGTTATTTTGGACATTTTAATGTTAAACAGCATTTTAAACGTTTTGAAGTAAACATGATCTTATAACATTGCTTATTTTATGCGTCGCTTATTAACACGCGTCTTAATAAGCATTATTTAATAACATGTGAAGTAAACGAGTCAGTCTTCTGGATGATCACATAACTGGGTGAAAAAAATGATGAACATGTTTTCATATTTGAAAATGGAAAACTAGAAAATAGAAATAGAAAACTCGAGATAGAAAAACTGAAAAATAAAACAGAAAACTGGAGAACGAAAAACAGAAGTAGAAATCAGAAAAATATCTCAGTTAGTAAACAAGTCCTAATATTCCGAAAGCATGATGTTGTTAATATTTAGAAGGAAAAATTCAATAACTTGGATAGAAATTTAGTTTACAGTTTGAACTAATCAATCACTCTTAATCTTTTACTTAAATCATAAACTTAATCAAACTAATGAATTTGGATAGAAATGTAGTTTACTCAATCAAACTGTACAGTTAAGGAACAATTCAATAATTTGGATAGAAATGTAGTTTACTTGGTGAACATAAATCACTCTTAATCTTTTACTTAATATATAAAAATGTTTATGAATTTTGAATTATTTTTTGCAAGCTTTGTAGCGGTTTTAATGTAGTTTCTGAATATGTAAATTTCATTTTCTAAAACTATTCTGAGTGTTGACAAGGATCAATTTACTTTATCGTCGGTCAAACATCGTAAACCGTAAAGTATCATACAATTTGGGACGGAGGTAGTACATTTTTTGAAAAAAAATGGAACGCAACTGAAAATAAATATTTTAATTTAAAAAAAAATATTGCAAGCCAACATTTGAACATTGATTTGATGTTCTGTACTTTTAAAATTTACATGTGCAATGTTAGGCCAAACCCCCAAAGTTTTCCCAACAAATAGATATTAGAAGATCCGAGCTTTCTTTTACTAACGATCCATAACGATCCAAGCTTTACAAACTTGTTGTTGCAAAATCGTTTTTTACCCTGATTGTGATGTTTTTGACCAAGAAATTTGGTCATTCTTCCACTTTGCTTTGTATATATAGACACATAGATATATAATTTGTATTAATATGTAATATAATTGGTAATTGAAAATAATTTTAATATTATAGCATATTAGTTTTAATACGTGATACTAAAGTTATATTGTTACGGAAAATATTTTTTCTAAATACTACACTTGTCTTGCTTAAAGGTTATCATTGTAAAAGGGTACATTTATTTAGACAATTAAATAAGATTATTCTAGTATGTTTTGAAAAACAAGTTTGATGGGTATACAATATAAAATGGAATCATTTGTTATAATTGTGATACTATAGATGTATTATATTTAATATTTGATGATTAAATTTTCATTTAAGAATTAAGAGTGTTAATTATTATTTCCTAAGATAGAAATGAGAATATTTAAATAGGACGTCCCAAAAATGAACGTGTGGGGATATTGAACCGGAGGCCCAATACCCGAATTAAAGGCCCAGGACATCCAGCCCAAACAACGAGTCCACTACCCTATGATAAGTAGGCCCAGTGAGATATTCATACCGAACGAGGTTCGGGCCAAGTAAAGGTTGGCCCAGAAAACAGACATACCGAACGGGGTTCGGGTCATACATCATACTTGGGTCAAATCAACGATGTTTTACAGAGGCCATTATCCCGTTCGGGCAACGGACAACCGGCAGGTGGCCAGGTGCAATTAATGCCAGATTGTGACATCATCAAGTGGAGGCATGGGTGATCAAGTAGGTGGAGCATCGGCCAACCAGCATAAAGCGTCCCATACTCTCCATTAGTATAAATAGAAGGTTTAATATCATTGTAAGAGTTAGCATTTTAAGACTCAAGCCCTAGAATAGCCTTATTACTCTTGTTTCTTGTATTAAGCATCAATCCGACGTACCGTTCGGGTAATTTCCTTGTAATCAAATAGGTCAATTAATACAAATGGGCTTTTGAGCATTCGATTATCAATCTTTTATATTTCTTTTACATATCGAATTATTGTCCATTTTCTGATATATCCAAAGTCTGTGTTGGGCTTTCGGATCTACGGGACTAAACTTCAACATTGGCGCCGTTTGTGGGAAACAAAACGAAAAGTTTCACGCCAAAACAACAACCTATTTCAAAGATGGTAAGAATTACTTCTCATCACACCGGGGAAAGCCGGACCCCCCAAGGGCAATCCAGTCGGGGATCCTACCCCCACTTTGACGGGGATTTCGTTATCCCCGAAGCATTAAGAAGGAACCCCCATGCCATGCGAGATTTGGCTCAGTTCATGCGACAAATGGCGGATGAGCAGGATGGGGGACAGTCCAGCTACACCGGGGAAACTAGATACACATTCCCATCCTTCAATGATGAAACCACCGATGCAGAAACGACCACGACATCGAATCACTCACGAGCCCACCGAGGAGAGCGCGGAAGATCTCATGCAGCCGGGGCCAGGCGTCACACTACTAGTGACCGCACCTCAACCGGGTCACGGGCCAGAGGAGATACGCCCATTGGCCGCCAGTTCCAGTGTGAAGAGCGTAACAATACGAGATTCGGGCAGAGACGCCATAATCAAGGAACAACTCTGCCGTAGGCCAATCGGGAGTTTGTGAACTTGGGAACTCCACCACCACCTCCCCTAACAGCCCAAGAGGAAGAAATGGCCGACATGAGGAGGCAGATGAACGAATGGAGGAATATCATAGAGCGACAAGGAGATACTTCGATAAACAAGTAAAAATCTGATCGATCAAAGTAGGAGACTTGGTCCTGAAGAAGCGGGAGAAGAGCAAACCTCTCGAAGGAGGAAAGATGGCACAGAATTGGGAAGGCCCTTACGAGGTCTGTAAAAAATATGCTTCAGGAACGTTTGGTCTGCAATCTACCGAAAGCCGACCGGCAGGGACTTGGAATGTAGAGCATCTGAGGAAATTTTATCAATAAAACGGATGTTGCCACCTCTTGAAAAAAAAGAGGGGGACATAACTTCCAGAGAGTCTCACCTCAGCTTTTAACATGTATAGTCACCCCGAACGAATAAATGACTTCCGTGTTAACGGTATTGAGGGAGCCGCCATCTCAGCTAAAAATTTGACCATGTGATCACGACCAAATAGAGGGATCAAAACGGCTTGGAGGGATTCACCTCAGCTAAAAGATTTTTTGACCCCGTGATCACGAATGATAAAGGGATCAAAACGGCTTGGGAATGGTGTCAGAACAAGTATTGTCAAAGCGAGTGACGTTCGGTAACATGAATTTGTCGTCCGGGAGGCACTGCTTTCAGAGAGTCTCACCTCAGCTTGTTAACACGTGGGATCATTCCGGTTGACCGAATGACGAACGGGTTAACAACTTGGAGGGAGCCGCCATCTCAGCTAAAAATTTGACCCTGTGATCACGACCAAATAGAGATATCAAAACGGCTTGGAGGGATTCACCTCACCTAAAAGTTTTTTTGACCCCGTGATCACGAATGATAAAGGGATCAAAACGGCTTAGGAATGGTGTCAGAACAAGTATTGTCAAAGCGAACGACGTTCGGTAACATGAATTTGTCGTCCGGGGAGGCACTACTTTCAGAGAGTCTCACCTCAGCTTGTTAACACGCGAGATCATTCCGGATGACTGAATGACGAACGGATTAATAGCTTGCAGGGAGCCGCCATTTTTAGCTTAAGTAAGAAATCACCTGATCTTGTGATCTTGCTTACAGTTTGAATATGCTCACCTCAACCCCCTAATATGGATGATACGAATCGGAGGAAACTCTTCGGAATGCATGGGAATTATGGGTTTGGAAGGGAGAGAGTCTCACCTCAGCTATTAA